CCTCCCCTTATGGCACCAACACTGAAAGGGCACAATGACATGAAAACACACACACACACAGACACTCACACAGAGAAAGAACTTGTTTTGTGACTCTGTGTGCATGTGTGTGCGTCTCTCTTTTAGAACATATCTCCCAGTTGTCGCACGAGACGAGCGTACCCTGTCACCAAGGATGAAATATTTATAATGAGAGCGATGAGGGGAGGTCCTGCATTATTTAACATGTGGAGGGTGGGTGGGAGGTGGGGGGGCAAGATGGCACTAAACAATCTTCACAGTGTGGCATCACTCTTTACAAAAACATGAATGCACATGCTCACACACTTTCCTCAAGACCCCACCATAGTAAGTGGACAGTCGCCTCACCACCTCACCTCTCCACAGTGACAACCAAAGCTTATGTTTCAGTCTGTGTATGTGCGTGTGTGTGTGTGTGTCAGCCCCATTGTCAGCCTCTACATCTGATAAGACAGTGATGTTCATCCAGTGTGTTTTACATATTCATACACCCTCCCCCTCAGGTATTTTGGTGTCATCAATCCAAATGCACAATAGGAACTGGATCAGGCAAACACTCAGGTCACACACTTCTAACACAAGCTACTGCTATTACGGGGGCCGTGTTCACTGCAGTTAATACCAGCATGGTTATAGAGCCAGCCTGTAGTCTGATTTCCCCTGGGGGGTCTTCACACCGCTCCCACTCTCAGGTGTTTATTTTGTCTTTAAAGCTACACTGAAAAACATTTTTTATGTTTAAATCCAAATGTCCCACCATCACTAACTGAGACATCTACATGTCCAAATTAAACTCTGTTGCTGGAGGAAGGTGATGAACTAAAAAGAACTGCTTTTGTTTTTTTGTTTTTCCTTATGAGCCTTGAATTGAATTCTTTTCTTTTTAAAATATAACCTCACCAGAATTTAGCATCCAGGATGCTGCAGCTAAAAAAAAAAATCAATGTTACCTTGGTGAAAACTGTTGCCTTTATGAAAACTCCATCAAAGCAAAATTCATGAAAGGTCAACATTATTAACAAATGCAATCGTCGACTTAAGTCTCATTTTAACCTCCTGCTGTATGGTAGTATCTCAGATTTCACCACTTCATAGCTGCAGAGATCCTCACATTGGAAGTGTGAAATGGGAGCAGGCACTATCCTCGTTTTGACATTGGACTTTGTTTCTTAGAAAAACGAACGTGAGGTGGTAACAGAGAAGTTGATCAGGGCGGGAGGCATTTCGTAATTACCTCTAAAAAGACAACTCTGGTTTTATTTGAATTTGTCTATAAATAATTCTACATGGAGATGAAGAAACCGGGGGGATTTTCTCTCATGTGCTCCCTCTGTGGTCGCCCCCCGCACAACTACCAGCCACAGATGGACACTGCACTCGCCCTCCTCACGTTTTCTCACGTTAAATTGGTCTAGCCGAAGTGTACGCTCAGAGACGACTGGCGAGAGCTCTTTGGGGGATCCTGGACCAGGCGATGAGGCCACCCGGGACTGGTCAGGCTGAGCAGGGGAGAGCGAGGCAGGGAGAGAAGGAGTCGGAGGGAGAGAGAGCGTCTGCATAAGTGTGTGTGTACGTCTTATTATCTGCGTCTCCTCAGCTTTTTTGTGAAGGAACCAGATGGGGTCCATTCACACCACTCTGAGTTCTGGAGGCTCCCTGCAGCCACTTCTTGTTATCTTTTGTCACCAATCAAGTGCCGTTTTCTCCCTCCTTCTCTCCTCTCCTCCCCTTCCTCTCCTCCTCATTCTTTTTTTTCCTTCTTCTATCATCCATCCTCTCTGCCTCTATTTGGGGCCACCAGTGGGCACAGTTGACTTTTGTAGGTTTGTAGTGTGTAAATATAGCCTGTTTGATGCTACCTGACAAAGATCTAGGTATTTGGAATCTTGCCTTATTATAGCTGGGAGGTTACACTTTTCAGATTGTGGACTACATCATGTTTAAAGGGTACAAAGGTTAAGATCCTACATTCTTCTACACAGTTTTGGAGGTGGATCTTTGACTCTGATACTACATTTGTCTGTTCATCTGCCTTCAGGCATGTGTGTCCAAAGCATGATGCTGATCTATCTCAAAACCACTGAGCAGATGGCACTGGTCTTGGATAGATTCCCAGATTTCTAATGATTTGTCGCTTCCTCAAATATTACTACAACATCAAACTTCCCTCCTGACCAACACTGGTCTGTGATGAAGTACCTGGAACACTTATGTTTGGACAAATATGAAATTCAGCTTGATGAAAAATCATGACATTTCCCTGGACCAAAATATCAACTACGCACAACTCACAGTAATCTCTGTACTGCATTAGATGATTGTCAACTGTTGGTGTCAGTGAACACAGTGCACAGTGTGTGAAGATCAGGGTGGCGGATGGGTGTTTAACATGTCCAACTGTATGCTGGAGGTCATAATTTGCCATAGACTTGTAATTAATATCATGAATGTAAAACTGTCATCTGAAAGCAAAGACAGTGCTGTTGGTGTTCTGAACAAAGCCATGTGATGGATATCAGCTTTTGTGTGCCTACAGCACTCCCAATTTGACTGAATACTGACTATTGATTATCAGCCTTTTCAATAAAATGTCTACCCTCTGTAAACCTATCCCTGTATGTATGGCATGGTAAAAGCCAGTGGACTGTTGGAAACCTCAGGAACAACTTTAACTGAGGCGTGAGATATGTCGTCAATACATAAAATAAGCTGTGCTTAGGGTTGTCATGAACATTAAATTGTTTTGTGATGTTTCAATAGGTTGTATATCACATCATTGTGTGTGCGTGCTGCTGTTAAGATAATGAGTGCTTCTCTCTCATGAATGGAAACCAGAACACTGAAGAAGAAACACCTTGACACATGAGCAAAAGCAGAGAGTGTCGTTCTCACAGGAGTGTGAGAACTCAAGGAGAGAGTGTGAAACTCTCCATCTACTATTTAATTACACGGTTAAAGTGCAGTGTGCATGAGTGAGTGAGACAATGCCTGCTGTATGTGTACATAGAGTGAATGTGGGTATTTTGATTGACTCCTCTGACTAATCAGAGCTCATTGTCTTACAAGGCTGAGAACAAAGGCGGAGCGATTGCCATGATTGTGGTGAAACCAGAGGAGAAACGGAGCGGCCCATCATGACCACGGCTGCAGGACAAGAATGATCATCACTGTCATTAACAAGGCCATCCTCATCATCATCATCACCATCATCTTCTTCTCTCTCACATTCATCATCATCACCACATTATCACCATTACAAACATCATGGGCACGTCCATTTTTTCACTACTGTTGTGTCACGTCTTCATCATCACCGTCTAGCTCGATCACCACAGGCTAATTGGCACGCATGTCATTCAGAGACACTCATAGAAGTAATTGTTTGATAGCTGGAAGTATTTCAGCATTTACCACCAACTCACTTCAGCTCAGCATTACACTCTGTGGCCCCTGGCTGCGGAGGTGTTTGATGATAACTCAGACCAATCGTCAGGGCAGGGACTCCTTTTCTTCCAGAGTTTCGAAGAACTCCATTTTTGGCAAGGATGGTTTGATTGTATAAAAGGGCCAGCTACAGACGATGACATATTGATATGTATTGAGTTTAAACACATACCTATTATCTATCGCCCCTTGTTGCATTTCCCTGCCTTCAAGAATGCAAACTAAAGTGTTCTGGAGAATGTGGGCATCGATCCCACTACCTCTCACATGCGAAGCGAGCGCTCTACCATTTGAGCTAATTCCCCTATGAGTTAGTGATCAGTCTGATGTGACAACACCCGAACACTGAGCATAATCATTGTGTTTGAAGCCTTAACTACAGACATCTTATGCCAGGATCAGCTCATGGTCTGTCATGATGGTCACCATGTCAGATTAAACACTCGCAGCGGTATAAATTCTTGCTGTGCCTTGGTTGGAAGACTGGCAATACTACAAGTATGACCCCGACCAATCATCATCCACGACCCTGCGTGAGTTCATAGGTCATCAGGGAGGTGTCACAGTGACTGTCAATCATGGCTACTGTAGCTCTGTGTTTGATGCTAGAGACAGAAAAAAGAAAATGAAGAAAAAAAACGATGGTGGACCTGTTCCTGGGTCAGATGAAGGGGACAGTATGGACTGTCTGAGAGAACATGAGGTACGTTAACAAATGCCTACACATCAATACTATTAATTTACATTGCGTACATGAAGCAACTACCTTCACTGTGTGTAAACAATGCATCAGAACGCTCTGTCATCCTATTGGTCAACATCAAGGTTCATGTTGTGGACAGTTAAAAATGAACCTGCAGTTGTTGATAGGATAAAGGATCAATTCCAGACTTGTGCCATTCAGTTCCAGAGCATGATAAACCTTTGAGCAATGTTCACTGCTTTGCACACGTTGAACTCATCTTCAGGAGGACAGGTTCCCTGGAGAACACTGACATCCATTCAACTTCCCCTTGAATCACTTGTAATAACCCAGGGAGCACAATGGATTAGGAGTGCATCGCCTTAAACACTGGGCAACCTCGCCCTCTTGCTCAGAGCAGTAAATTTAAGAGGTTCTCCAGGTATTGGACTCAGGACCCCTTACAGTTAGCGCCATGGATTGTCACATGTTTACAGGAATTTGGAAGAATGAATGCATAGGAATGGAAATGTAGATTGAACCTTGCATTTACAGCTTTTATATGTGAGTGTGTTTTCTTCACTTCATCCTAAGTAGAGGTCGAGGTTTTTCCTGAAGTGCTCCTTACCAAGTCTTGAAACTATGACTTCTTGATACCTCTGATAAAGTGCAAGATCAAGTAGCACCAAAAGCAGGAAGCCATGTTTTGGTAGCTGACAAACGACCAACAAACTTGTCAGAATGGACAAAGTTTCTATTTCACTGACTCTCAAAACTGTGTTGAAACACATCTATTACTTGTCGCTCTTTGATTTTCACGCATCCTCCTTTCTTTAAGAAAGGGAGCTAATTCTGGAGAAAGTAGGCATCGATCCCAATACTTCTCGCATGCGAAGCAAGCGCTCTAACATTTGAGCTAATTCCCCCATGCAAAAGGACTTCAAAGCCATGATAAGGCATTGAGAGCAAACAAGATCCTTACTCCTGCAGTTGCATCATTCAAATCTATTCGGGAGCATGCGATGGTTCCCTGATGGACGTGAGTGTCAATCCCACTACCTCCTGCATGCTTAGGAGTTTACCAGGTGAGTAGCTTCTATCGTGAACAGCTACCAGCTTCTCTTCAAATATGTGTGATAGTGGACCTGGGATAGAAATTGACCTTGCTTACTAAAGCTAATGTCTTTCGACGAGGATGGGATTCGAACCCACGCGTGCAGAGCACAATGGATTAGCAGTCCATCGCCTTAACCACTCGGCCACCTCGTCCTTTCCCTGCAGTTTTCACATGGACTTTCACATCCTTACAGGAACATCAAGGCGCTGTCTGTCTGTACTTGTACATGTTTTAGACATTTTTAGACACTGACTCTAAACACCTATCAAACCATTATCTTTCATAAATCTTCACTTTATATAGTCAATTTCTATCAGTTTATCTTCCTGTGAATATTGTACTTTCCTATCGACTGATATTAATAAACTGTTCATAAGTAATAAGCTGGAATCCACTGCCACACACACACACAGTGCAGAGTGTGTATGTGCACTCATTCATATACTGTGGTCTAGAAAGGTTTCTGAACATTAAAGTCGGTGTCTGGTCTTAATATTGTCTCTGATTAGTGTAATCTGCTGTGGAGAATGTCTGTGTCTGTGTTCTCATATCACATCTATTAACTATCACTGACCAGTTGGACAAATTGACTTATTCTTTAAAGGTCTTCTCATTAGCAACAAGTGAAGCAGTTGCCAAGAACAAATAGAGAAACAGCATGGGCACACTCACAAATGGCGAGCTGAGAAAAACCACACTGAAGACATTTAAATACACAGGAGCTGATCTGTGAAATGTGGACAGTTTTGAGCAGCAAAGCTTTAGTCAAAACAGATTAAAGGTCAGGGAACACTTTTTTAAAAAAAGGGACGTAAATGAATGTGGAACACTGTGTATTGTGTCACTAATACATTAAGTGTGTGTTAAGCTGGATGAGGAAGAGGGGTAGTAGTGGTGGCGGCGGCGGCGGTGGGGCTGGTGCGTCCAAGCCTGGCATCCTGTTTCTCCGGCGAGGTGTTAACCGAGTGAGAAACGCAGCGCCCGATAGGATGACTGGCTCGCCTCCACCTCCACCCACCAATGCCACACTCTCCTACATCTGATGTGTCAAAAAGGAAAAAAAAAAGAGAAGCGAGGAGCGGCTAGACGGGGTCACCGGGGAGTACAGACAGACACTGAGGATTTACACAGCACTACTGTTCATGTGTGGATGTCCTGGTTTATGGCACTTAGTCCTCCTCTGGCTGTGTGTGTCTGTGTGTGCTCCTGCCCTTGTTTAGACCCTCAGTGACACCTCAGCCTACGCTCATTTCACAAAGATTAGATTGGATTTAACCTGTTGAACTGGGCTTTTATGAAGTGGACTTTTATTCCACATCTCCAGTTTTTACTTTGACAAACTTTATATCTTTGGAAAGTTTTGGTTCTAAATACCAAGTCAAAGTTAGTACAGAATTCAGCCTTTATTTCATGTCATGCTAGAAAGTTGTAATTGTCGGCCAGTAACACGCAGTAACACAAACCATCTGCATTTTGAGATTTTGCTGTGGTGATTCTCTCATGCATGTGTGCGCTCTCCTTGTATTTCTTAACCATCTTAGGTTAAGGTTTCGCTTTGAGTTCAGTCTGAACACACTGTGAATCCCTGTCACACAGTCCAGTCCAATTTCAACAGAAAATCAGATCAAAGTTCAAAAGATCAAAGTTTTTTTTTTTTTTTTGTTTTTTTTTTCTTCATTTTTTCTTTTTTCAAATTGTAATTTTGAGTCTTTGGACAAAATTCAAAAGGGCATCACCATCACCTCACACCCCTACAGTGTCACCACGGATAACTGAGATACATCACTGTCCTATTTCAAAAGCAACAGTTTCATCACTCTCTCCGCTGATACACTGAGGCTGCTGAAGTCCTCTCAGATTTCTCCTGTCTGAATCACAAAAAAACATCATTAGATCTCTCTCTCAAAGTGATGCTGTGACATAGCCAGGGTCACTTTAAGCCCGAGGTGAGGTTTGTTAAATTTGTTAAATAACTAGTAAGATCACATTAGTAGAAGGTGTTTAATAAGTAGATATCATTAATTCAAGTAAAGATAAGATTCAAATATGAATAATGTGACTGAAGTCAGAGCAAAGACAGGTTTGTTCTAACTCAAGGTGGAGTTTTGGGACTGAGACTGAAGTTTGAACTCAAGAGGAGGTGAAGGAGGGGGTTTTCATATCTCCAAATTTCATCTTATTTCAAGGCCCTACTCAAGCTGCAGGGGTTCAGTTCAGATCAATTACACATTGTTAAGATGTTCGCCAGAGTTCAGTGCCTATAGATAAGCTGTATTTTAATTAGATACAGAATAATGTTGCAATCATGTGGATATCTTCACCCGTGTGGCATTACTGCTGAGTCTCTCGCGAACTGAGTACTGCACAACATTTAAACATTTACACTTATGTCCATAACACCTGGACTCCTGGTGATGATTGTTTTCTCCAGATCACATAGATATATAACACAGAAACCTCTGATTTCAAACTCAAGATGATGATTTCAATGTACAGTTGATAGCATATTTGGACCTGTAGTGAGGTTTTACAGTTAAACAGCTTCCAGAGATATGATAGATGTTATGATGAAGTTGTGTGATGTAAGTCCAGAGTCCATGTTAGGAGTGGGTGGGTGTTACTGTTCATTTGTGAAACCAATTAAATAATGTCAACATTTTTTTTCTGCAACCATTCCACAGCCTTTGATGATTTCCTGTTGCATTATGGATAATGTAAGATTTGGTGTTTTAGGGGACTGTGGAGGACTAAAAGTCAGGGTAGACATTGCTTCAGTTTTTCTCATTTCTCTCTGAACCTGTCCAGTAATCCTTCAACCTGAGGTTGACAGAAGGACCACAGAATAAAACCTGTGGCCGTTAAGACAGTGAGGAAGTTCAACAGTGAACCTGCAGCATGTGTCAGAGGTGTCTGCTGCTCCACTGATGATATCCTGTGTGTGCTGTGCTTCCATCAGAGCGGCTCCCCTCCACTCTCTCACTCACTCTACTCTGTTGCTTGTCACTAGACACCGGCCTTCTCCAAGGGCACTGTGGCAACGAGATCCACAGTCACCACCCCCCACCGCCCCATCCCCGGTCCACGGCCCGGAGCCCAGACGAGTGTTCAGGGGCAGAGCTGATCGATAAAGAGAGGCTGAGATATGCCATTACAGGTGAGGCCATCCCTTGTGCCATCCTAGCCGCTCCTCACCACAGCTCCTTGCCCATTCAGCAATATCTGCACATACTGGGGAGGGGGTAAAACGAGAAGGGTCACTTATTCTTTCAAGTGTTTTTTGAGGTCCTGGGAGGATTTAGAGATCGTTAGGGCATCTATCGTTGGTCTACCACACCCTGCCGTGACATTGTCTGTGGCTTGGTCAAATGAAATTGCAGATCGAACTCAATAATCACAAATTTCTTGTTGCTGCTTCACTTCTAATGCCTGTAGGAACAAAGCTCTGTTGTGGAAGGGTGTCAGCCTGAAGTTTCCTGCTGTATAAAGACAGAAAAAATCTATCATCTTCAGGTCAAGAGAGGGCTTATTGCTAACTCTGTTTCTTCTGTGTCTGTTCTGCTCACATACACACCTTCTTTCCCTCTCCATTACCACGCCAAGGCTAAACAGCTAAGAGTCCCCTCCGTCTCTCAACACTCCCCAGTTTCCTTCCCGAGGAGCCGCCAAACAAATGCGGGCTACAGCGCCTGTCAAACGTCCCCATGTCCTTTCAAGTTTGACTCAGAATAAGAGCGGTAATGATGGGTGACGTGGGAGTGGATAGTTATTGCCATTAAGGCAAATAATAGCTCTTAATGCCAACACTAATGGGCAAAAAATAGATTCCCTTTTTACCAAGAAGAAGGAGAGCAGATAAGAGCACTTGTGTGGAGTCCCTGTGCGGTAAAGAGCCTGAGCCGGCTGCTGCTCTGTTCTAATGGCAGGAGCTTCTCTGTCGGCTAAATGGCATCATGGAGCTGGGGTACAGTCCGATTTGTCTGCTGTTTTTGCTGATTTGAGGTCAGCGTGGTTCATTAAGCATTTGAAGGGGCAGTAACGGAGCTGTGGAGAATCATAATTGGCAGACGTTCTTCACAGTGTTTGTGAAACTTGAGCTGCAGAAGCTGCAAGGTCCTGGATGGAGGCAGAGGCATAAATGTGTTAATTCAAAGGATCCCTCTTCGAAGTTTTCTATCAAACATTTTCACTTCAGCTTCCAGAGGATACCTGAATTGTGTTTATCCAGAATATCAAAGAAAGACAAAGTTCTGACTTTTGGTAAAAGCGTATAGTCAACTCTTCAAATTTTGGAAAAAAAACTTCCTGTGTGTGTTGATATTTGGGAGCGCACCACAAGTGATGACAATAAAATGACTAAATGACACAGGTCTGACAAAACCTTAACAACAGTTTTTACATGCTCGTTGCTTGTGGGATGGAAATTTTAACAAAAATAGGACAAACGGAAAGAAAAAGAAAAAAGAAAATGGAAGATGGGAAAATGAGCTTTTGATGTGTGATGTGCAGTGTGTTTCATCATTTATTTTAACTAACTACTCTCAACTATATTTTAAACAGGTTGGACATTAGATATTATTTAACCGCAACCACACAAATACTATGGCTAGCTTTTGTCTGAGCAGCATGATATTCTACAGCAGATCATTGGAACTGTTTGAACGGTGTGATTCTCATTAACCCTTAACACACACTCATTACCATGAGCAGATAATGTAGAACCCTTTTCCCCCTTGTCTTTTTTCTTTCTTTTTAATGGTTTTCCAGAATCTTTCATTGTTAGACTCCACGTCTGCTGATCACTTGTGAACA